CTTTTAATTTCTTGGCTGCAATCCCCATCTGCGGTGATCTTGGAGCCCAGGAAAATAAAATCTGTCACTACCTCCATTTCATTAACTGCATTGAGTCTAAGCAAATGACCCACTTTTTCTTACTTGGGGTGATATTTCCAGACCCATACGTACATCTTAGATAACTGGCCCTTGCACTCAAATACATCCCTGTAGCTTCCAGAAGTTCCATATACATTTTTCCTCCATGGAAGCCTGAATGAGCCAAGTCTATTTTGCATCTCAGCCTTGGCAATGCTACGGTCTTGTCCGGTCCCTCAGGGGGTTTGGAAAGGCATTAGCAGTGCTTATGGAAATCTTTTATACCGCTCAAGTGTTAATAGGGAGGCTAATGTTCACACTCACAAGTACACACTCCTTGGGCAGAAGTTGTGCTATACACATATACTGTATAACAGAATAAAGGGACATTTTAAAGAAAAGGTCTATTCTGAAAGTAAGATTTTTCACCGGGCCTAATTTTAGGCCACATTCCAGTCCGTGGAAGCTTCCTTTAGAAATTGTGACAAATAATGGCTTTAGCCATACTTGCAGAGACTCACCTCATGCATCATAACAAGCCAAGATTTCTCTAATCAGTATAATTCACACTTTTGGGGGCATTAAATAAAACACTTTTGGGGTTCTACAGTAGTCTCAGTCATAAATCATAGTTTAAAACCCTTTAAGCAGACTGGCTGAATTTGTTGAATAAGCCATAGTTGGCTGGTATGCCATAATTTAAATAATAAATCATGGTTTATAAATCACAACGGCTAGCTTCTCCACCTACTAGAGCAAGACCAAGCAAACCATATTATAAATGTGTGCAATGAATCCATGTGTCTGATTGGGGAGTATAGAGACAGTGACCACAACTTTGGGATTGAAGATTCACCCACTTTTTAATCTGGATTCTGTGGGATTTTGTGCAGTGTTTGAAGAAAATGCCTATATCCCCTATTCTGAATAAACTAACAGATTTGGGTATTTTTCCCCCTTCCATTCAGTTGCGGCTGATTCTCGAGATACTCAGTATCCAATTAAAGTTTGCATTCCATTTATTTTTCCTTCAAGCTGTTTGTTGGGTTATCAGGAAATTAAATCTGGATCTCAGTTTGAGAAAACAATTTCTGTAAAGTAAATAGTAAGGAAGGATGCTTTGGGGTGAAAAAGTTGGAGAAAGCGTAAAGAGGATCAAGCAAGGAACTCATAAAGATGCATGCAATTTCAATTTTGATCAAAAACACTTGAACAAAGAAGAAATTACTGTATTGATCTTTTAGTGCCCTAAAACAGTCATTTTTCACCCATGGTATAATTCAATTTGCACTAGTTAGAGTAAAATACAGACTAAAGTTGCATTCTTCTGAATATGCACATTAAAAGAAAAAAAGAAAAATGTAGTGTCATCTGTATTTGTCCAGCTTTTAGCACAATGAACAAGGTCTCTGTGCTGGGTGATAAAAATTAATTATAATGTGATTAAAAACAGTCTTTCTTACTGAGAAAAAGACATTTATTTCCAAATCTTATTCATGCTGATCATTCTTATTTCTTGTTAAAGCAGTTAAGCGCTTAAGCAGTTAAAAAGTAAAATTCCATGAATTTTCACATCGATTTAAATCTCTGTGTGTATGTGTGTGTATTCATAAAGGTATGAATTGTGAGACAAATCGATTGGAATCATGTTTTGATGCACACTGTGGCACTACTAGAACTCCACATCAAGTTCAAAAGTTTTGGATTCCTGTTTTCTGGGACTGCCCATAAAATAAAAAAAACCCTAAAAGACCTAGACGTTGCAAGGAGGTGGATTGGCCTGAAATGTGCACGCCAGATCCAGTGCCTAATTAGAACCTTTTGTCTAAAGCCCTTTCTAAAGCATTCCGTGTCTGTTTAATATTTAACATATGGGGGGGGGGGGTTAAACAGAGTTTTGTTGGTGTGCCAGTTCTATTACAATCAGAGATTGTTTAGTTGGGATGCAGAATAAAAAAAGAAATAAAAGGAAGAGACTTATTTTCTTTCTAAAATGAACCCAAGAAGAAGAGGAGGAGGAGGAGGAGGCAGCTGCGAGGGTGGGGGTGGGGGGGTTAGTTGTGATGCAGAATAAAAAATAAAATAAAAGGAAAAGGGTTACTTTCTAAGATGAATCCAGGAGGAGGAGGAGGAGGAGGAGGAAAAAAAGAAGAAGGAGGGGCTGTGGAGGGGCTACATTGCAAAAATGATGGCAGCCTCCCTCCTTGAGTGTTGACTATCCCCCCCCCCATCCACCCACGCCCCCTCCTCTGCAAAAGAGCAATACAGCCATTGCTGGGCATTGTATAGTAAAAGAAAAGGAAGAGAGTTCAAACAGCAATTGATCTTTATCTCATGGGGGGAAGGGGGGTGGGGGGAGGAAGGAGAGTTTGGAAAGAAAGGGTTGAGTTGATTGGGCAATAAAAGGGTTAAAGGCAGGGAGTGGAGCTGGCAGAACCGGGAGGAGGGAATGCTGCCTGGCCCTTTAAGGTTCCTGCAGCACGAAGAGAATTGCAGGCATAATACGATTGGGGCGGCAGGATCACTTACTTCTGACGTTCCAAAGCCTGGGGGAGTTGGCTAGAGATTGTTTCCCTTTGATAAGGTCCTGGCAACTTAGTAACAACTCGAGAGGCAATAATAATCATCCTCGGAGTCTCAAAGCTTCGGCACCAACGTACCCACCAAAACCCTACGTCTCCGCGAGGAGGGGGAGGGAGGAACCCCCCCTCCCCAAAACCCTCATTATTAGCTCTTTAGTTCGGGCTTAACGCCCCGGATCTGTAGGCCAGCGTCTTTGCCGATCCAGCGATCTGAAGAACTGCGTGGCCTTTTATTTTCGGCTTGTTATTCCCCCCCTCTCCCCCTCTCTTTCCCCCACTCCCCCAAAAAGAGCGGGGGGGAGAGAGGAAGGTGTTGCAGAAAAAGTCGCTTATCTCCCTTGCAGGACCGTTCTCTCGGTTGTTCACTTTGATGTGCACAGTTAAACCCACAGCTCAGTGTTTGTTGAAATAGCCCGGAGGACATTTGGTGCAAGGAATGACTGCTTGAAACAGGACCTGGGTTGAAAAGAAAGGGGGGCGGGTGGGGGGTCAGGAAAAGAAGTGGGGGAGGGGTCAGGTCTTTTGATTCTCACCCCCCTCTCCCCGCTCCTTTGGGTTAAAAAAAGAAGGAAGAAGGAGAATCTCCCCCCCCCCAACAACTCTCGCTCTCTTTCCGCTGATATATTTTGAGTAACGTGCCAGTCCCCCCCCCCCGCCAGCCCTCCTTGCTCCCCCCCTTTTTTTACTCTCAGATGCTGTTGAGAAGCTTGTGAGGAGGTGGGCGATAGGGAGGAATCAGCGCAGCGTTGCGGATTACTTTCCCCCCCTTCCCCTCTGAGAAGGGCTTGGGGAGGTAAATTTTGAGCCTGGGGGAGGGAGAAGCCCCCCTCGCTGTTTGGAAGGAAGTGCCCAGGCGCCCGCTTAAACGGAGGGGGGCGGGAGAAAGCGCCCCACCAACCAACTCCGAGATCAATGGTAAGTTGCGAAAGAATGTGTGTAATTCCTTCGCCCCTCCCCCCCCCGCCCGGTTGCTTTGATGTTTTCTTGGCTGGAGCTTTGAAGTTGTTCGGAGAAGCTGTTTTGCGCCTTCGTTGTGAGTAAGCAGAGCTAGGGGGGAAAAGGGAGAGCTGCGTCTGTACGAACCACAGCAGCCACTGAGCTGTGTGTGTGTGTAAGAGAGAGAGAGAGCGAGCTTAAGGGGGAGGCATCTGTTGGGGAAGGAATGGGTCTTTTCACAGACCTCCCCCCCGCATAAACATCCCGGTAAAGTAGGGAGGAGTTTTGCCTTTGTTTTCCAGCAATGTTTTGTGACTTGGGAAGGAGGTAGAGACCCAGGGATGGCTTCGGTTGGTAGGTAGGCGAAGGATGCCTTGGCTGCCAGTCCCTCCTCCCGCACCTCTTCGCGTACACCCCTCCCACTTCTGTCAGCACCCTCGGTGAACTCCAAAGAGGCGCAGCGTGCTGACTTTGGGGTCAGTTGTTATCCAGGACTTGGAGAAGGCGGCCGGGGAAAGGTTTTCCTCTTCTCTCGTTCCTTTCTCTCTCCCTAGCTCTTTCTCTCTCTCTTTCTTTTTCCCCTTCTCTCTCTCTCTCTCTCCCCCCCCCTCCCCAGTTCCTAAGATATCTCAGCAGATCTGCTTACAACCCCCCTTCCCATCAGTCGCCATTTCTGGATATTTTTCCTCTCTTTCCTTTAATGTTTTCCCTCCCTCTGCGGGATGATTCTCTGGGGGTATGGGCTGCCCTGTCGCCGTCTCCTCCTCCTCCTCCTCAAAATCTATTTAATTTGTGTTTTAAACAATCGCCTTGGTGCCCACCGCCTCTTGGATGGAGTGCTTGTCTAAGTGAGGGAAGGCTCGAGGATTCTAACAGCCTGGTCTGGAATGTCTGCTCTTGTTCAGGTATCTTCCAGGACATCCTCCTCTTCCCTCCTCCTCCTTCTCCTCCTCCTCCCTTTGAAGCAGCTTTTGAACTTTCTTAAGAAAAGTTGAGGCGAGCAGGAAACCATCCAGGGAACTTTTTAATGTGTTTATACGCTCTAGGCTATGGGTGGAAGAGGTTGGTGGAAGCCTGGCATTGGGAAGGCAGCTCATTTACTGGAGTGGAGTTTGCAGCTCTTTGCGTTGTTTGACGGAGTAGCAGCTTCCCCCACCCCTCTCTTTTCTTTCCTGCATTGGGTGGTGGAGTTATGGTGAGCTGGTAAAGAACTTTGGATGCCCATCCTTTGCTCTGCTGCCAGAGGAGTAGAGAGCACAGCCCCCTCGCTCTAGAGTTGAATTATGTGTGGTTGTTTTTAATGGTGCTTTGTCGCATGAAATGGGACCAATGCATGATAAAGGTAGGGATAGCAATGGGGGGTGGGTGGGTGGAAGAAATTACATGTCAACAGTATACTTGAACCGAGCATGGCTCTTTTCGAAGGCAATGCGCAACTGGTAAGAAAGTCTTGGTTTTCAACACTAGGCTGGTCAAAAACTGTCTTTGTTTCTCCAGATTCTTTTCAACCTCCCCCCCCCCTCTCAGGGTACAATTCAGAGGAGCATCCAGCATTGTGCTTGCTTAGGAGGGTTTCTGGTGATCCTAATCTAAACGTTTCAGGAGTTGAAAGGTTGGGGGGGGGAGAAGAGAGAGTGAAATGGAAACCAGATGCTGAGGAAAGCACGTTTTGTTCTTTTGCTGTGAGTTATCTAGGAGAGAGAGAGAAAGAAGGGAGGGAAGCAAAAGCTGAAGGAATGCTTTTTTTGCGCAAAATGGGTTCGAACGGTATGGGGAGATCTAAGATTATCCCTGGGACTCCTCAGATGTTATCATAAGTAGGAGAGGGGCGGTGGGGGGGGGAGGGAAGCCCTTCACCCAATGTTTTCCTTTGTGCATGTTGAGACTGTATAGAGGCAGTGCAATAAGGGGACCCCCCCCCGAAAAAGTTCTTTTATTGTTTTTGTTCCCAACCCCCCCTCACCCCTCAACCCCCCCTCTGCCTAGGAGAGTTAAAAGTGTGCCCAGAGTTCAGTCTTCCTCTTTGAAAAGCGCATTTGATACTTTTGATTAGTGCTGCAGATAGCTGTGGTTGCCTCTTTATTTTAATGTGAAGAGTTGAAAAGCCTGTTTACTTTTTGTCTTTGATGTTGCTTGGATCTGGTTTTGATTAGATCAATACTTCTCCCCCCCCTCTTCTTTTTTTTTCTTCTTCTTTAAGAGAGAAGACTCTGAGGATCCCCTGCTGACTTGAGAAAGAAAAGAGAGAGAGAGGCACACAGATTGCTGAGGAACTTAAAAAGGAGAGGGGGAAAAAAAGCGAGCTCTACCAGAAGGAACTCCCGGGAACCATGAGCAGCGCAGCACTGCTGACTCACCTCCCAGACCCCAGCAGCAGCTTCAGGGAAGATGCCCCACGCCCCCCTGTACCAGGGGAAGAAGGAGAGACACCATGCCATCTGGCTGCCAGTTTCTTTGCCCTAAAAAACCAAAGCTTCAAGGCCATGTCTGTTTCTTCCACGCCCAGGAGGAATGAGGATGGTCTTGGGGAGCCAGAAGGCAGCGCATCTCCCGATTCCCCTCTAGCCCGATGGACCAAATCCTTGCATTCTTTACTAGGCGATCAAGATGGTGCTTACCTCTTTCGGACCTTCCTGGAAAGGGAGAAGTGTGTGGATACTTTAGACTTTTGGTTTGCCTGCAATGGCTTCAGGCAGATGGACCTTAAGGATGCCAAAACTTTAAGAGTCGCCAAAGCTATCTACAAAAGGTACATTGAGAACAACGGCATTGTCTCCAAGCAACTCAAGCCTGCCACCAAGACCTACATACGGGATAATATCAAGAAGCAGCAGATCGATTCTGTGATGTTTGATCAGGCACAGACTGAGATCCAGACTGTGATGGAGGAAAATGCTTACCAGATGTTTTTGACTTCTGATATATACCTCGAATATGTAAGGAGTGGGGGAGAAAACCCTGCTTACATGAACAGCAATGGACTGGGCAGCTTGAAAGTGGATTGTGGCTATCTCCCCACCTTGAATGAAGAAGAGGAATGGAGCTGTGCTGACCTTAAAAACAAACTTTTGCCCTCCATACTTGGACTGTCCAGTAAGACCTTGAGGGCTACAGCCAGTGTCCGAGCTACAGAAACTGTGGAAAATGGGTTCAGGTAAGAGCAATAGATTCCATTTATTATGGGAGGGTGTTAAATAGTTACAGTGTGTTGCAAAAGGAGTGTGTAGATGAATGTTGTGTTCCTGGTTTAAATCAAATTTGGCAAAGAGACTCTTTTATTTTTTGAAGCTTCCCAATTTTGGCATTTATTTCTTGCTGGAGGGGAGGGCTGCCTTTTTCCCTAATAAAAAAAAAAGGAGTACGTTGTGGTTCTTAAGACCCACCAGTTCTAAACCTCTTTTAGACATCAAAAAGGAACTTCAAAGGGCTCTTGTTCTTTGAGACATGCATTAATTGTTACCACTTTAAACCACATTAAGAGGAACTGGGAAGAGCACCATCTAGGCATGTGAATGAGTAATGAAATACTAGTTTGCCAACTTCATCCCTAGCTGGTGTTGAAATATGTGGATTACATGTAGAAAATGGAGAGCAATTATGCGATGATGGAACTAGAAAATCCATATTATTATTGAGATAACCTGTAAAACTGAACCAAGTTGACTTCAGGAAGATGATGACTCCACACAGGTACTTCCATAAGGAATATCAGGTAGTAGCTTGATAAATGAATATTAGCCGAATAAATAGGATTTCTTAAGCTAAACAAAACAAGCTTAGCTAAAGGGATGGCTCCAGGTACAGGATATTAGTAAGGGTAAGAGTCAGAAATGAACTGTGTGCTCCAGGTTCAAAGGAAGCTGCTTGATACCAACTTAAAAGTGTTGGTCCTTTGAGTTGGCTGCTTGTCTATTCCAACTAATGGCAGCTCTTCTTGCAGAATTCAGATACAGTTTTCTACTTGGAAAGGAAGAAGTCAGGATTTCAACCTAGGGTTGTTGTTTTCTCTGTGTGAAGGATTGTGCTCGTATTGTGAAGCTTTCCCCACATGCATGGCATGTAGTCTTCATTTGAAGGTTGCTTTTTTCCCCGTTTCAACATTGTCTTTGGTAACCTCAAGAGAATGATGTGCGCTTTCCTTTGGTAGCATTGGCTGCTGAAAGTGGGGCAAGAATAGTTGTTCATCACCCCAAGTGGCAGCATCATCATATTATCTTTCTGTCATGAAGAGTAACATTCTCTTCTATGATCTTATTTTCCTTATTCCACCTCCCCCCCTTTTGCCTTCATAAATCAGAATTGGTTGCATATGAAATGGTAGAGCAGAAGGATCTTCTCTCTCCCTCTCCCTCTCTTTCTCTCTTCTGTCTTGCTTTGGGAGTTTCTAAATCTGGTAAGTATTTGACATCTGGTTTACAGGAATTTTGTGAGTGTTTCTGTGATTCATGGACATCAAAGGACTTCAGGCATCTCCTCTTTTTTCAGCTTGTACCGACCATGGCCTGCCTCTAAGAGGAGGGATCTTGAACTGCATCCGTTGTGGGGTTTTTTCTTCTTTTTTTTTTTGCTTGATTTTTTAGCAAAAGGGACTATTTGGTCTTTTCTAGGGATAGGACTGGCAAGGCAGCTGATTCCAATCCAGCTTTCACTCGGAGCAGTATAAATCTGGAGCAGCTCCAGATGTATAAGGAGCGGCTTACAGTTGTTGGCTGTGTATATGACATCCATGTATGACATATTTGTTTCATCTGTTTGATGGGAATGTGCGTGCTATTCTGTCTGAAGACTCAATTGGTTTTTTTTTATGGTACCAGCTCTGCAGTAGTTCACATCTGCTGTGACAGTGAACTTGAGCATGGAGATAATGATCACTTAGATATATTTATTTTTCTTGGCTTAAGATAAAGACTGTAAAAGGACATTTTTTGCCACTGGAACTCCAGAAATAATATATTTTAATATTCTAGAAGAGGATTCTCCCCCCCCCCCCACCGGTTGATCAAACTTTACTTGTACATGCAGCCTCGTATCTTATCATGAATATGTTGATGGTATTTTATAGGGAACTCCTTTGCAGCTTTTACCATTAAGTAAACTGTTTGATAATCTTCAAAGAGGCATGGAATAAGGTTTGGAGCCTGTCTTCTCTGCATAACTAAGTAGAGAGTAGAATTTGAACTTGAGTTCTAGTATTGTCACTACCCCAGGCTTAGTATGTGATCTTGGGCACACCAGCCCATCCATTCTCAGACTAATTTTTTCTGCTATGAAATTGAAATAGGACATACTTATGACTCTGTAGCTATGGCTCTGTAAGAATTGAGTATTTTTGTTGGAAGTGTCAGATCCGGTAGCAGTTTCTAGACTGAGCTCTTACAGTTACATATTGCCCTAGGAAGCAAGCTCAAACTTTGGCTTATTTCAGTTTTTTCCCCCCTTTGGTCTAGAGGTCATCAAATTCTATTGCTTTTCTGTTTTAACTAATATAAAAATCCTGGTTTTCCCCGAAATTGGTAAAAGAACCACTATTATACATATCTAATTTAGCTTCTGCTAATGCATCAGTTTAACAGATAGTTATGGAGATTTGGTGTATACCTTTCCCCCACACTGCAACTAGCCTACAACTGTAATGCATAATTAACACACAATACTCATCTGATTTGTGTGTGAAACATATCTATATATGCTTAATGACTTTTGAGGCAAGAAAGCTATTTCAAGGTTGGTCCAACTGGCTATTCACACATGCAAGTTGCTGCTCTCTGGCATGTGGACTTGCAGACAGTTACTTTGAAAGTTGTGACTTTAAGCCCCATGCAATGGAACTAAAAATAATTGTCTATGTTGTATTCTGAATGTATAGTGTGCCAGTTCATGGGCCCAGATCTGCCTTCCTACAGTATATAGACCAGTGTTTCTCAACCTTGCCTACTTGAAGATGTCTGGACTTTCTCGCTGGCTGGGGAATTCTGGGAGTTGAAGTCCAGACATCTTCAAGTGGCCAAGGTTGAGAAACACTGAAATAGACAATAAGACAAGTTCTGAGTGAAGCTAGCTTTACTGCTGAATAAGCTGGATCTGGCAGATAGGTCTTCATTGATCAAAAGAGCTGCTGGTTGGCACTTATTGTATGAGGAATAATTATTAACTGAAACTAACTTGTATCCACAGTTAAATGACACCACGACAATGCCTTGCATGTGCAACCACATCTTCTTCTCATCGGTTTTTTTTTTGGAGAAGAGGAGGCAAGTTATATACCAGTTTCCTATAAAGTTATAAATACTGCACTGCCAGCATTAAATAATCATACATGCCTCTACCTAGAAGGTCACACCAATTTTCACAGGCTGCTTTAGCAGTTTCTTGACAAAGCATGCCATAAGTTTGGGTTTTCAAGTTCGTGTGTCATCAATTAGACACCATTTTGCTTTCTCCATCCCCAATCTGAATATCCCTGTGAATTGAAAATTGGCTACAATTTCTCAGCACCCTCTTGCTTCAGCTGAAAATGAAGCTTTGTGTAAAACAGGAAGGCAAAATTGAAAGAAAAAATGGAGAAGAAAAAGGAGTTTTTATTAAGGCTGAATGTAAACACTGTGCAGGGATTCATCTCTTGAATTTCCTCTGAAGTTCACATCCGTTTGTAGCTTAGTACATGGAAGGTCATCTTAAGTAATAGTTTATGTTCCATCTAGAAAGAGTGCATGAAAGAGTAACAAAGATGATTAGGGGGATGGAGGCTAAAACATATGAAGAATGGTTGCAGGAATAGGGTATGTCTAGTCTACTGAAAAGAAGGACTAGGGAGGGAAACAAAACAGTAGTGTTCCAATATTTGAGGGACTGCCACAAAGAAGAGGGAATCAACCTATTCTCCAAGCACCAGAAGGTTGGACAAGAAGCAATGTATGGGAACTGATCTAGGACAGAAGCAACCTAGAACTAAGGAGAAATTTCCTAATAGAACAATTACCCAGTGGAACAGCTTCCCTTCAGAAGTTCTCGGTGCTCCATTAGTGGAGGCTTTTAAGAAAAAAACTGGATAACCACTTGCCTGGAATGGTACAGGGTTTTCTGCTTGAACATGAAGTAGGACTAGAAGACCTCCAAGGTCCCTTCCAATTTTGTTATTTTGTTAATGGTCCTCTTGGATGATGATGAGAAGCTACTAACTGCTCCTTGAAAATATTTCCCACCATTCTGTCTTAAAGTGATGGAGCTCTTGGTGGCCTTGAAGAAAGATAGGATGGAGATCCCTACACAGAGGAGTTACAAGATACCTTGATGAGATTTGGTTGCAATTAAGGTGTTAGTGTGGTCAAAATCATCCCGCCCCCTATTTTTCAAAGTAACTATGAAACCACCTTTAATTGGTTTACTCATTGTATGTTAGGCTCCCCCCTGTTTTAATGTGATAATTCTGTGTGAAGACTTCTCCATCCACTTTGCTGAAATCCTAAAAAAAAGATGTGAGCTAAGTGTCCCAGGGATTTATAAAACTCCTATTCGATGGTGCTTACCATTCCCGTTGAACTTCAAAGCAATAGTTGTGAAGCTTTCTTGTCGAAAATGATGAACTCTCTCAAAGTGACTGCTTACACTACTGAAGAGGCTCTTCTTAACCCTCCCATAGGGGATGCATTGTAAACATAACTTCCAGTGGTTGCTGCGCTGGCATGTTTCACATTGCGTGTGCTTGAAAAGAAAAGGCCTATAGGACCCCCCACCCCACCCCTGAAAGAGCCCCGGCTGGTTCTGTACAGATGGTGAGCATCTTGAAACCAGATACTTTACAACAACAAGCTCTGATGGGCCTGGGCTGTGTTAAAACAAGACATGAAACAGTTCCAAGGAGACCAATAAAAGGTAAAAAGGCTTCAATTGCCCCCTTTCCCTAAAAATAATAATAATAATAATAAAAAGTAACACCATTAACAGTGTACTGAAAGTTGAAATTTCAGAAGCAGAGATGCCTTATCAGGAGAATTGGCTTTGCTTTTAGGGGTAGAATTGCTATTCATTCCCATCATCCTGGTAAAAAAAACTCCTGTTAAAAACCAAACAAATAAATAAATAAAACTCTTCTCCATTTGTCTTGCTTAGCATCTTCCTTCCTTCCTTCCTTCCTTCCTTCCTTCCTTCCTTCCTTCCTTCCTTCCTTCCTTCCTTCCCCCCTCCCTTCTTTTCTCTCTCCCTTCCTTCCTTCCTCATCTTTTAGACACAGTATCTTGAGCTTCCCACTAAGCAAAACTCTTGGTGCATTTTGACAATGAATGCAGTCCCAGATGTGCAGAAATAGCTCCTTCTCTGGCAGTGCTGCCTCCTTGCAAAGGTCAGCTTGAGATAGAGAAAGTTCACCCCTACTCTTGGCCCATGCTCCTTGAAGAGGTGGGCTGCCCCTCTATCTGTTCCTCCCTAACCACCCCTAACCCCCATTTTCACAAAGGTTGGTGGACCCCAGTGAAATGGAGGAATGCAACAGACAGGAGGGAAGAGGCATGAAGTTTGTGAGCAAAAGTGAGCAAAGGCTACCTAGGAAGGGGGAAAAGGGACAATAGGGGACACATGGAAATACAGTAAAGGGGCTGGAATATTAGAGGGTGAAATGATGTTTTCCGTTAAAGATGCCAGGCTGTTTACTTAAATCTGCCACTCTCTGCAAGTGGTTTGAGGGGATCATTTTTTTAAAAAATAAATAATTTAAAAAGGACACCCTTGCAGACGTTAATTTCTTCTCCACCCACCCTGACTTCCAAGCTCCTTGAGCGGAACTCTTGATTAGAACAAGGGATTTTGAACCTGGGACAACGTCTGTTGCAACCAGCCTATTCTCTCTCCAGTGAAAAAGAGTTACCAAGCTGAGTTTCTTCCGGATGAGGGATGTGGTCTGGCCCCTCTGAGAATCTGTGCTGTGGAATGTTCTGGAAGTGGTGTACGTTTGACAGCCGAGATGGGGTGGGAGTTGGGGGGTGCCCTTTCATTCATTTTTCAGTATTTTTATGGAACAGGCATCTGGAACAAGGGGTGACTGCTTCGAATAAGGAACATCTGGTAAACTTCAGCTTGGATTCCAGGCTTTTAAGAACTGAAGAGTTAAAGGTGTTGTCAGTGAGGAAGAGCTGCTGAGACCTTCGTCTCTCCCAATTCTGAAAATTTTTGTATGTGGTGTTGCCATCTTGTTCCCAGCTTTGAAGTCTTCTGTGTTTATCCAATGCTGGTTACCCTGTATGTAACCATCTCCTACCTTGTAGTCTTGTTTTATTCCTCTTTAGCGTTTTCTTGAGGATTGCCAAGTTGGGGTCATGACGTTTATCTATTTCTATGGTTTTGTTGTATCTCAGCCAGAATCACTATGGCTGAGATGGGTGGTCATACGAATTTGACAAATAAATAAATTACTCAGACTACTCGTGTGACAAAGAGGACGCTTTGTCAGTGGCTAAGACGCTGAGCTTGTCGATCAGAAAGGTCGGCAGTTCGGCTGTTCGAATCCCTAGTGCTGCATAACGGAGTGAGCTCCCGTTACTTGTCCCAGCTTCTGCCAACCTAGCAGTTTGAAAGCATGTAAAAAGGCAAGTAGAAAAATAGGGACCACCTTTGCTAGGAAGGTAACAGCCGTTTAGTCATGCCGGCCACATGATCACGGAGACGTCTTTGGACAGCACTGACTCTTCGGCTTTGAAATGGAGATGAGCACCGCCCCCTGGAGTTGGGAACCACTAGCACATATGTGCGAGGGGAACCTTTACCTTTACTAATATGACAGTGCCTATAATTCTTGATTCATAACCATTTTCTTAGTTATTGCTCAAAGT